TTGTATAATTTTCACATATTTGTAAATGTTCTGAGAAACTGCTCTTTTCTAAACTTACCTAGTTTCTTCAATCTTATCATTTCTAAACTTATATTATTCAAACAGAAGTCAGTTTCCTCTCCTCCCTTACTGATGAGCACAGGGAGAGGATATGCTCACACACGTCTGGCTTCCGTCTAAGGGCCCGTGCGAAACGGAAGTCAGACTGATCCTTTGTGTCTCCCCCCTATTATTTCACCTATTTTCTATAAACAGTTCTTCATTTCTTTGTGTTTACTAGTGCCACTCATCCAGTTTGAGGGCAACCCGAGGATGGGTGCTACTAGTACCTTTATGAGGGTATAACCAATTCCCAAAACAAAAAATAATCACGTTTATGGGTCATAAGCTATACTTTCATTGATAGGACACATAACCTCTGGTTCTTCATGTCGACCAATTGGTCGCCTTCATCATCGATTACGACCAAACGGTCGTTGTGCGTCTAATAAGACGCATACATTCCCATATATAGAAACAACTTCATCTTTTAAAGTTCTAACATATCTCCCTAATTCACGATAACATCAACCTTCCTAAGAGCAGTTATTCTCATACTTATTTATGTATTAGGTTTATTTATTTGTTTACATGTTTATGTGTATTCAATAGTATTAACTATTTATTTTCAATGTATTAAATTTAACAAACTTCAACTTGACAAAAAATCAACAAGAAGTTATCGAAACTTCAACCAACATTTTATTAATAACAATAAACTTTCCCTAACACTATAGAACAAATAATGATCTAGTATAGCATCTCAGGCAACCCTCTTCTAGTGGGTTAACATCACCGTCTTCCTCTACATGAGTTCTTTTACGTTTGGTGGTACTACTTGAATCATCTATATCTGCTACCTAAACATAGTTATACTTGATTATTTCTGATCACACATACACATCGTAGTACACGCCTAGTTGTCATTCCAGTCTAGAGTTGCAATATTTAAGTCAACCTACCACTCTTCTCTCTTCTGCATCTTTAGTCACTTCTCTTGACTCCGGCATATCCGTAGGCTCACTCCCTTTGGTCAATTTTAGTAGAACGGAGAAGCTTATATCTCCTTGCTTGAATATTCCACGCTAAAACATAAGATACAAACAACAGTAAACCATCACAATGAATATTTTGTATACTCACAGAATATTCTTCCTTTTCACTTTCACTCAGCAGCTCTGTGAACGATAAACCTTGCCATTCTGGCAAAGACAGTCCCAACCTAATAGCGCATATTGCAGGCTTAATTACCTAAATACTTTTATACCAGACAATATCAACCAACAACTTAAAAGGTATTTACGGAACATAGCAACTTACGAAACGTGGACCTATTTGTAGAATACCCTGCTTTACTGACATCTCAGGGACTTTTTCACCGTGGTTCTTGTAGACGTCATTTAATTTTTTGCGAATAAGTAGCCTAAATCAAATCATATACATATTAAATGACTTAGATAAACTAAGGTTATCAGTAGTTATAGAGTACATATAGCATACATACTTCATATTCTAGCGTGCGAGTAATTTAAAAGAAATACTCACCCTAAATTTGTTTCATCCACCCTACGAAGCACCTGTTCCTTTAAGATAGCAACTTTCACCTCACGGTTTTTGTTAAACTCAGCCAGTTTTTTACGTCCCTCTGTCATGAAGTACTTCCAAAAATGATAAGATACTTTGGCCTATAAATATATTACATAGACAAAAAATATAATCATTATGATATTAACATACACGGATAGCAGGTAAACCACGATAAGTTCCTGCACGTGTAGGCCAAGTAAATGCCATTTGGTTTCCATCGTTTTTGTACCTATAACATCTTTCATTCAACACTACAATAGGAAACGACCAATAATGATTTCTTACCCCAATATGACGTTGGCTAAATGAGCCAATAATCTATCATATCTCCAATGATTTTTATTTTCCAGACCGGTGATCCGGACCCATTCCACTAGAACCCTTTTGTTGAGGTTTTCTTGATGATTTTCAATACGCACAACGTCCGCACGTAACTAAAATTATCTAATATTAGGTTTTTACTTGTATTGCCAACATGTAGAGTAGTTTTGGCTCGTTTACTTTGCTTCCATTCTTTTAATTTAATTCCCCTCAAGTTAAGGGCACACCTTATTCCTTTTTCCTTTCTTCCCACAGTCTTATTTTTAACACTCTATTTCATTGAATTTGTTATAGTTCACTTCTACATTCCACTACTACTCTACATTAAGTCTTGTATACTATTACAAACTCCTATTCTGGTTACCTTCCTTTTGTAATTCTTTTACAAATAAATAACCCAACTCCTTAAACACGGGGGCCATACCCCTTTAAAAATAGGGGCTCTTTTGATAGGGTTATAAAAGTGGCTACAAGCTGGGGTAAGTACCACGCCCTCAAAAGGGTCAACAAATACAGCTCACGCAAACCTTATACAAATTCATCAGTTTCTAGGCTTGCGGGTGCCTAGGGCAAACCCCTTTAAACCTCCCCTGGTATGTGGGCTAGGCCCCCCACATACCTCCACTACGGCCTACCACTAATCAAGCACATATGGTTAAATATTACAACAGTCAACTCTTCTATAGAAGCAAAGTAAACAACATGTATCCACCTAGAGAACTTTGGCACAGAAACTTCTCCTATGCCTTGTAGCTCAACTTGCGGAAAATGTGTTCTAATAAATAATAAAAATTATATCATTTCTAATACCACTAGGTTAAAAATCCATCTAGGTTAAAAAACTCCACTTATATAGAAGGTGATGCTAATTGTAATAGCAAAAATGTAATATACTGCCTTGAATGTTTGGAGTGTGGTTTACAATATGTAGGTCTAACCACTAGGAGATTCAAAGATAGAATTAGAGAACATGTATACCATATATATAAAAATGATTCCAGTAAGTATCTATACAAACACTTCAGTGACAGATGTAAAAATAAACTCTTTTCTTTCTCGATACTAGATAATCTCCAAGAAAACATCGACAAGAATGTACTGCAAAACAAAGAAGCCTTTTGGATTAAGCTACTAATATCAGCGTATCCTTTTGGGAACAATGACAATGTTAAAGGATATGGTAACATCTCCAACATAGTTAACCCTCTTACATACAAACCAACACATCCGTATTTCGCCCTTAAGATTCTAAAAAGAAGAGATACGAAAGACAACCAAACTCATAGAAAGATATACAAAAATAGATAAAATCCAAACAGACTAACGTAAACGTCTCAAAATACAGTCCTACGTCTCTCTGCGAACGAGTCAATTTCAATCACCAACCTTCGACACAGAGTTTTCATGGACCATGCAAAAAAAAGTAGCTATTAATAGTTTATCGGCTAATGTATTTCGGAAACCTTTTAGCTTAATCCTCGATGCGAAAAAAATATTCATCTACTTCATGCTTACTATGTAAACTTCTAAATTTCTGATGCCCAACAAAAACCATACACAAGAACCCTCACATACATCAATTTACCAACCGAGTTATTTTTATTCATAATATTAAATTATATAACCATTAATACAGACTAGCAATTCCACATTGACGTTTTCACCAAAATCAACACAACCATACCAATATACCCGCTACCTATTTTGTTTCCAAAGTCGACTGTCCTGCCGCCCCGGCTCGCAAACGTTGATCCTAAACCGTCGACTCGCCATACTCTTGTGAAAAGATTTGGTGTTTCGTCTCACCTGCAGCTTTACTATACCATCTGATAGCGTCTGACTCGCAGATCTACCATGATGGTTTTAAATCAATTTCTGACACCAGACTCCATATAGCGATTGGCTCATGCCACTCGCTCCCTCCATTCCATCCCGAGAGTCAATGAATATACTTTGTATGTGATGCGCATATAAGTCCTCCTATGCAGCCTGATCATCCCACAGAAACATGGATCTCAACACCCTCAGAATACGCCACGTACCCAACCGGTCCACCATATGGTGAGATTGAATGAATGTTTTTTTTTCGAATTTCACGATCTTTAATTCGTTCTAGAGCGCTAATTGGCTAACCGTGCGCTGATCAACCCATTCTTCCACTCCAAATGAGAATCTTCGAACAGTTTCCAGCAGTAGTAGTAGACCTATTATGTGACATTCCCCACATTTAGAGGAGATGATTTGCGGAAACCTGAGAAGATAGCCAGGAATCTCTCCACAGACGTAGACTCCAGTTACTTCTCTGTAAGATTGATGTAGAATATTTGGTCACGGGTAAGCGCTCCGTCCGTGGTGTGGCCCCAAACATCACTCTCCGTCATGCCCTAAAATGAAAATCAGATTTTTTGGTCTTCCAGGTGGCTCTACGGATCTGTGGTGTACACCGTTCGATTCTCCATGCAAAATGCTATCGAACGATATACATCTCAGTTCCCACTTGAAACTTTCGTTTTTCATCGCCTTTTCCTTATCGCCGATCGCCTTCCTCAGCCCTGGCCACCCACGTGCTATTCACGTGCGCGGTGCGTGGTGACTTTCCCACGCACTTTCGACACGCATAGCGGTGTATCGATCGGGCTGCCCGCCAGCTACCGAGAAAGGCCATCGGCTGTCACGTGAGCTCTCACGCTCCGCGCACGTGAATAGCACGTGGGTGGCCAGGGCTGAGGAAGGCGATCGGCGATAAGGAAAAGGCCGAAAACGGTGAAAAACGAAAGTTTCAAGTGGGAACTGAGATGTATATCGTTCGATAGCATTTTGCATGGAGAATCGAATGGTGTACACCACAGCTCCGTAGAGCCACCTGGAAGACCAAAAAATCTGGTTTTTATTTCAGGGCATGACGGAGAGCGATGTTTGAGGCCACACCAGGGAAGAAACACTCGCTCAAGCCCGAGTGTATCATCTTTTTCCAACATACAAGTAAACTTACTCTACGATAGGGAAGAGAGTTCGTCCCTCCCTTCTCGAATTTCCTCAAAACATCCCTTCGAAAATTGGGAAATGTCACAAAATGGATCTAGTGGCAGGTAAACTAGATGTTCTCCAGAAAGTGAGTTGTATACCGTTCGACAGTATTTTTTATGGGGAATTGAATGGTGCACATCTCAGTCTTCTATGTTCATCTGGAGAACCAAAAAAAATCTGATCATATCGCAAGGGCATGACGAGGTGTGATGTTTGGGGTCGCACTACGGAAGGAAGACTCACCTGCCACCAAGGTTTCTATGTAATTCCTACAGACAAGTGACCGTAGTCTACGCCAGTAAAGGAAATTCGTCGCTGCCTTCACAGCTTTCTACATAACATCTGCTCTAAACATGGAAGTTGTCGCAAAAAATGGGGCGAGGTGTGATGTTTGGGGCCCCACTACGAGAATGAATGTCATATTCGTAATCAGGGCATCGAATTACCCCAATAGGCAAAGTTTCGACGAAAAATGAAACTTTGAGATTTTGGGGCAGTAATAGTGGAATAATGATGCCCAATCGGCAATAGGGGAAGGCTGAAAACGGTGAAAAACCAAAGTTTCAACTGGGAGGAGTAATGCATATCATTCGATAGCATTTTTCACGGGGAATCCAATGGGGCACATCTCAGGTCTGCGAGTTCATCTGGAAATGCAAAAAATCTGATTTTTATTTTAGGGCATGACGGAGAGTGATGTTTGGGGCCACACCACGGACGGAGCGCTTACCCGTGACCAAATATTCTACCTCTTTCCTACAGACAAGTGACCGGAGTCCACGTCGGTGGAGAGAATTTCTCGCTAAATCGCACGTGGCGCCAAGGGCTGGGAGGACGATCGGCAATGGGGAGCAAAAAAGTGAGAAAAACAAAGTTTTGTGTGAAACCTGAGTTGTACACCATTCGGTAGTATTTTTCATGGGAAATCGAACGGTGCACCCCTCAGCTCTGTAGAGTCATCTGGAAGAGCAAAAACTCTGATTTTCATTTTAGGGCATGACGGAGAGTGATGTTTGGGGCCACACCACGGACGGAGCGCTTACCCGTGACCAAATATTCTACATCAATCTTACAGAGAAGTAACTGGAGTCTACGTCTGTGGAGAGATTCCTGGCTATCTTCTCAGGTTTCCGCAAATCATCTCCTCTAAATGTGGGGAATGTCACATAATAGGTCTACTACTACTGCTGGAAACTGTTCGAAGATTCTCATTTGGAGTGGAAGAATGGGTTGATCAGCGCACGGTTAGCCAATTAGCGCTCTAGAACGAATTAAAGATCGTGAAATTCGAAAAAAAAAACATTCATTCAATCTCACCATATGGTGGACCGGTTGGGTACGTGGCGTATTCTGAGGGTGTTGAGATCCATGTTTCTGTGGGATGATCAGGCTGCATAGGAGGACTTATATGCGCATCACATACAAAGTATATTCATTACTTCTCGGGATGGAGGTCGAGTGCATGGCGCAATCCTAGATGGAGCTCTTTCAGAAATTGAATTTAACCATCTTGTAGATCTCGAGCAGAGCTATCAGATGGTATAAACTGCAGGTCGAGCGAACCATTTTTTAAA